AGGTGAACAACTTCCCAAAAAGGTTATAATAATTTTAAAAAGTGAATATATACTAGGCTAGACCAAAAGGTCCTACACTTTCTTGTATTCAGGCACCACTAGTGTGGCTCAAATAATTTCTCATGGCTCCCCTAGGACAAAAGAAATGTCCAACTATTCTATTTTATTAAGCAGTAAGGTCCAAACAACTAAGGTAGTTTATGTAGTGTCTCTGTATTTTCCTTGAAGTTTTAAAATGTGTTGTATGTCCCTGAGTATTAGCCACAGCACCCTGGGACCTTAGCACACACAGTTTGGAAACTATAACACCAGACACATGCCCATCAAAGGGGAAAGGCTCTATATCTGTAGCTATGTGACTGACACATTCAACTGGTCAGTTTGTGCTAAATTATCAAGCTGACTATTTTTTTACACTGTTTTATCATATATAGAGAAAATGAGTTATATTATTAGATTTTGCCTTTCTGTAGATTTTTTTAAAGATTTTATTTATTTATCTTTAGAGGGGAAGGGAAGGAGAGAGGGAGAGAAACATCAATGTATGGTTGCCTTTTGTGGGTCCCCTGCTGGGAAGTGGCCTGCAGGGAACTGGTCTGCAACCCAGGCATGTGCCCTGACTGGGAATCGAACCGCGATTGTCTGGTTCGCAGGCCCGTGCTCAATCCACTGAGCTACACCAGCCAGGGCTTCTGTAGATTTTTTATATCCACATAAAATGTCTTCATGTCAAAAACTTCGAAAGTATCTATTAGAATTGCATGACTAAAAATTAAACACCCAAATGGGAACAGCACTTGATCTAAGAGTGGGACGGAGGAAGCTGTGTGTTGGGGAAAGAGAACACAAAATCGGTATTAGAGAAATTGGTATTGACCAAACTTAGGACTTTCAACCACCTTATCTAAAAGCCTCTCTCAAGTCTAAAATGATAGGCCAAAACCAACATTCAAAAGTATTTTGAATTTTGGTACATGTTTTTCTATGATAAGCAAATACAAAACAGATGTCTTCCTAAGAACAAAAATTATTCTGCAGGCGTCAAAGGGATGTATATTTTACTTCAAAAATATCTATGCAATACAAGCTTTGCAGTTCACAGGTTGAAAAGTCTTTGGTTAAGAAGTTAGTGTTCCACTCAGACTTTCCACCAGAGCCAATGGACTGTGTCTCTAGATTCTTCCATCACCCAAAGTGTACTTCATTCATACACCCATTTAGTTTATAATTCAGATTTGGAACCTTCATGATTTTTCAAATGTATTTCAGAACTACGATGATCGTTTTCTAATTAGAATGAGCTAGTTCCCATAAATATAATTTAAAACTGATTTTTATACTGATATTTTTTAATGATGTGCAGCTATATTATGTAGATGTCTATTGCACACCACATCTCTAATTCTGCCATGATATTTCTTAAAGAAAAAGTATCTTTAGGTCCACAAAAAGCTTCTTTTTTGAGAAAAGATGTTAGCTAATTGTATGGTTAGGTCTCCTGACCTATAATTTTATTTTATTATTTCCCGTTGATAACATGTTAGCTTTTCTGTAAAGTTCCCGAGATTTTTATTTTATTTATTTTATCAAGACACATAGTCTAAACAAGAAAATTTATCAATACTTTCTATGAAGTTTATGAAAAGCATTTGAGTTACTGATAACAAATGGTATATTTTTCATATTTACTTGAAACTCATATCAAGATGGATGAGTCAGTCTCTGTCATCGACAACTATTAATATTAGTCTAAACAACTGAAAACCAGAGAAGTCACATATGGTTGACATCTATGAGAGGATAAAAATTAAGGCACATTGAAGAGAGGAGATGTTAGGATTTGTCTCTCTTCCTACCCCAATTGCTTCCCCACAGTGTAATTGGGTAGGAAGGAGTCTGAAGTATTTATCACTTCCACCAGACTCCTCAGTCAAACTGATTCAGTGTGTGTACCAGGGGGTCCACGAAGGTCGGCACTTTTTTTGGCTACTGACTTCTTCGTTTTACAGTTTGGCATGATGCTGGTTTCAAGCTTGCCTGCAACTGTAGAGACTTTACTGTATTTTATTTCCAAGGTTGTAAAAGAAGTGGCATTGTTTTATGACTTTAAGCACTGCAGGTACGAATAGCAAATGGTTAATACACGAACAATCTTCAAAAGCAAACATGTCTGCATGCCACATTATACTCACACTGAACAATTTAGTATGCCAACTCTGTCAACTGGAAGTGAGGCTGAGGTGTTCTTGACCTTTTCCAAGCCTACAGTTATGCTATTGTTCATACTCAATGTGGTTTTCTCTTCAGCACAATATTTGCTAATGGGACTTATTTCTACAGTTGCTTAAAAAGTTCTTTTTGGAAAACAGAACTAGTCTATATGTGTATACTGCAGGTACAGTCTGAGGCAATGGATGATTTTTAAAAGTGTCTTTTTTTTCATTTTAGTAACCAAGGTTACCAAAACCACATTGGAAACATATGTTTAATGTGAATAGTAATTCCTCAGGAAAATGGAAACAAAACAAAGCACAAAAATCTTTTATGGTTAAATTCCCAACATTTAGTGTGGCAATAGAATTTAGAATTCCATCTTTAGAATTTAAATTATTATTAGAATGTAAATATTTAAAATATATAGCCCTTAATTATTAAACATGTTGGTGTTTATAGATGTATTGATCTACAAATATAGAATGATATGGCAAATAATATTAAATGAATTTAAGGAGCCAGAGTGAGAATACTATCTTAAAACACAGGAAAATACTATCAAAAGAAAGATGTGCAAATATAGTGGAAACCCCACAAAGGGGACAGTACCATAAAAGTGTGAATTTTTATAGTGTTAAGTTTAGTTCAGTTTTTATCTGGACTTAATAGTTGCAATTAGGTATCTCAAACCACTTTGTATATTTGAAAACATATATCCTGTTTTTTCAATATACATAGAGGAATGTTTGAAGATTAGATATAAGTGGTAAATATGAAAATTCAAAATATCATTTGACAAGAAACATAGATCTGATTTTTATTAATATTGGATAGAGTTCTGCAAATATAATAAACACTGAGGCATAGGAATATGCTAATTTATTAACATATAAATGAATGAAAACCTACTGTTATTTACAAAATGATATTCTACATAAATATCTAAAATGATATTATTTCACTAATTGTTTTCAGTGGTGTTCTACTTTTATCAATGAAAATGTTTCAATAAAGTTGGTTTCCCTATATTCTTTCTAGCCCTGATAATGTTTTAGAAGATATTTAGCTTATCAGTTTAGACCCCTTTTGGAATTTGTTACTATTTTTATGTAACACATTATAGTTGGCATTTTGGCTATATAAATTTTAGAAAATGAAGTATTAGATTGTTTTCAAAACTGACAATGGTCCTGACTGATGTGGTTTAGTTGGTTGGATGTCTTCCTGGAAAGCGAAAGGTTGCCAGTTTGATTCCTAGTCAGGGCAGATGCCTGGGTTGTGGGTTAGGTCCTGGGATGGGGCACCAGTGATGTTTCTCTCACACATTGATATTTCTGATGTTTCTCACCCTTTGTTTCTCCTTCCCTTCCCCTCACTCTACAAATAAATCAATAAAGTGTTTAAAATATCTAACAATGTGCAATTTCACTTTTGGTGAAAAAGGAAGTCATAAAATGATAGGTATCTAAAATTAATAAGCAATATTAATGGTTATGTTGGTAACTTACCACTTAGTAGAAAATGCCCTTGTATTCTTTGTAATGTGTACCCATTCACTATTCATACAGTCATTTAACAAATAGTTTAATGCTATACTAGAATTTTAGATACAACAATAAGTAAGACAGAATCAGGACCTGCCTTCATAGAGCATGCAATTAAAGTGAAGAGAAAAAACAGGGTGGGCAAAAATAAGTTTATTGTTGTGAGTATGCAAAATGAAGCTTATTCTTGTTTTGAATATTATTTATTTATTATTGTATTAGTAACACAATATAATTATAAGCTACTTTTTCAAATCTCTTTATTCAGGATCCAAAGGAACCAGAAGAGAGATCTGACCAGGTCAACGGAGCTCTCTCAGGTCTGGCTTGAAAGAGGTTCAGAATATTAAAGAGAATGAACACACTGATAATTCCAGCCCAGAGTTAAGAGAGAGGTTTAGTCTAGGAATTAAAGAAGACAAGGGCACTTGGGCTGCTTGCATATAAACAACTATGGTACATTTACACAATGAAAAACAACTTCACTGTAAAAATGAAGAAAATTTTACCCTTTGCCACAGTATGGATGGATCTGGAGAACATTATGCTAAGTGAAATAAGCCAGTCAGAGAAAGAGAAATACCATATGATTTCACTCATATGGGGAATCTAATGAACAAACTGAACTAACAAGGAAAACAGAGACAGACAAGGAAAACAGAGACAGACTCATAGATGGAGAGCAGATGACAGCTTAGGGGGTGGAGGGATTGAACAAAAAGGAAAAAAGGACACACGGACATGGACAACAGTGTGGTGATTGCTGGGAGGTGGAGGGGTATGAGGGGATTACATGGTAATGGAAAAAATAAAAGAAAACCAGGGAGAAATAGGCTATAAACATAGGGTGGAGACAGATAATGGAAGAGTAACTAATTCACATTAGGAAACTGGGTGTACTAATTAAAGGGACAATGGAAAGTTATTGAAAAGCATATTCCTATCTTATCTATGCAAAATAAATTTAGCCTGAGTATTATATTCATATTTTAAGAATACACTGGAAATAGAAATTATGAAACTGAATTTTAAAAAGTAAATTTTGGCTTCAGAAGCACAGAAGTAATCTAAGCTCTTTTAAATACCAACATAAATCCTTTTCAATACCTTCTGTGTGTTCCCTCTTTAAAATAAAAATGCTATATGGGTGATCTCATTTCTTGGTGTGGCAGAAATGTTAAATTGCCTAATTTAACGCCATCTCCTCCACCCACTCCCAGATGAAAAGTCAGGGATACTTACTACATCCAGCCTTATAGCTGAAGCCTGGGGGGAGGAGGAATCCTTGCTGGGCAGCAGCAGCCAGTGTCCGTTGATCAGGAGGGAATACGGGAATCATTAATGGCGGTAGTTGACCTTGAACCTGCTGAACATGATAAAGTGGATCAAAGAGAAGAAGTTTGGGTGCTCCATGCTTCCCACCCTCCTTATTTTATAATGAAAGAAAATCATCTATTCAATTCAATACACTGGCATACAATTTCATTATAAGCCATGCTTTGGCATTACCTTAGGAAAATCAAAAGATAGTATAGTTGAAAGGTTTTTATCAAGTTCACTGTCTAACCTGATGAGTAATTTCCCTACATGATATCATTGAGAGTGATAAAGCATCACTATTTCACACAATAAGCCACCTTCTTATTGCATGAATAGTTAAAAAAAATTACCTCTTAGGTTGAACTAAAATCTCTTGCAAATCCCACCTGTTAGGAATAATTCTACTTTCTAAAACACAACAAACTAAAATAGTGTCATTTTATATGTGAGTAGCTCTTCATTACTTGAAGATAATTCTTATGTTTATACATAATATTGAAATTTTATAATTCTTGAATAAAATAGCTGGAAGAAAGCTTGGAGAGTAAGACTCCCCCCCCCTTTTTATAGAACTGGGGCTAAAAGACAATTTACTTGGCCATGGTCATTGAATGTGATAGTCAAAACTAGGTGTAGAATCCAATCCCTTAAATCCTGCCCTGTACTATACTATTGTCTTTGTCTATCATTTTTCAAGCTTTAAACCACTCCTCAAATGACAACCCCTGCATTGGTTGCTATATTTGGACTACACCTTAATTAGCTGACATAACTCTCCAAACAGTGTTCACACCAGCAAATGAATAATTCAGCACAATGGAATAACTATTTTCTTTGAACTGAACAAGAATTTCCAGAAGTATAACCTAATGCTGACATTTCTGTAGCTATTTCACATTAGTGACTAATGTAGACAATTTCATTAACTAAAATACTCAGGATAATTTTTTTCCAAATACTTAGCAATACCTCCTTGGCAAACATGATTATTGGTTAGTGTTTGTCACTGAATATGTGGATAAGAATTTACCTAATCTGAAAATCACCTATCAACACTCTATGTTCACTTATTACTCCTAAGTATTCCTATACACATTAATCCAGATAATGTTTCCAAATAACATTAATCCAGTTATTTGGAAAATATTTGATAAACATCTACTATGTACAAGAAAATGAACTAGGCAGTAGGAATATAATAGTGAACAAGAAAACCAAGATGTTATACCCATGAAGCTTACATTACAATGGGAAGAATAGTAAAACGTAAAATGGGTATACAAAAATAATTATGAATTCATTCGTTTTCTAGTCCTTACAGCAACTCTGAGATATCTCCCAGACTTGTTTTCCTTTCTCCCAGGGCACTGAACATCCTTAGGGCACTTATGATTCTTATAGTTCTCATCATTTCTCACTCTGAAAGTCCACCTTCAGTTTCTCCTTCATCTTTCACAGTAAACCTCTGATCTATTTCTGAGATTTTGATGGATGAGTGTCCTTTTGGGGTGGGAAGTGAGAGAGAGAGGGAGAGCATGGAAGGGAGGGAGAAAATGGGGGGGAGAATGTGTGAGAGAGAGGGAGAGTGAGAAATAAGCACCATAAGAATGAGGGATCTGCTTTCAGCAATGACTCCAAATTGGAAAGCATTTCTTTTAGCCAACAGGAGTTTAAACCTACCACTAGCATACCGTTTTAGTAAAACTAAAATGGAATACAGCAACCAAGAAAACAAAAAGTATCTTAAGGTTAGAGCTGAAAGTTATACCACTACAACCAGCATTTTTTAATATCCCGGGGAAAACATAAACCTTACGCAGAAAGCAATGAAAATCAATTGGTTAAAGACTCAAAAAATTAGAGATTACATAGTGAGCAAGTATATAGGAATAAGTAGCCTAAAATAAGAGATAAATATTGGAAGGCAAAACAGTATAGGGACTAGTTCAGTGTAAGCCGAGGATGCTGGTCAGAAGAGGATGCAAAGAGACACACAAAAAACCAGACACACTGGATAAGGGTTAACACCAGCTATTGTATATCCTTTATATTTCATTGTTAGTAAGTTATATTTTATATAGCACTTCTCTTCCTTTCTAAGACAACATTGGTTCTAAGATGTATCATAAATTTAATAGGAGAATTTTGGAGGGTAGAAGAAACAAAATGAAACACATACATGTATTATGAGAGCCATTCAAATTTCAGATACCTTATGATTTGGGAAAAATAACAGCTAGAATTGCAGACACAACAGGTTTTAGGTTTAGTGAAGTAGTTCTCAAGCTTGAATGTATATTAGAATCACTGGGCAAGCTCTGAAGAACTCCCAATGCTCCGACTGCTTCCCAGACCAATTAAATCTGAATTAGGGGTGAGACCTGGCCATCAGCATTTTTTAAAGCCCCCCTGATGATTCTAATGTGCATCTGAACTTGAGAAGTACTGTCTCAGAGAACGCTTTCAGTCACTGTCAATGCATCTTTTTGTCTTCTTCACTTTTGCCTTGAGTTACAAAACACCTTCACACACATCAGTAGTTGAAAGAGAGACTCTGCCTGACTTTTACAGGGTCTGGTGCCCACAGGATAAAATCAGACATTAAGCTACATTCCTCATAGAGTTCCTTCGGAATGAATCTTGTATCTGTTTTTTACATGCCCTTCTTAAAAAAAACAAAACCTTCTGATGGTTTGCTTTTGCCTAGCAATAATGACTAAGTCCCTCCGCCTGCAAGTTTCCTCACAGTTTGTCCGCTGTCTCTTTCCAGACAGTTCTGCTGTCCTCCTTCAGAAATCCTGTACTCTTGCCTCATGGACCATGAGGAGTTCTTGCATACTCGGTGTTTTTCCATGCTTGAATGCATTCAAGACTATTTCCTCTTCTGTTTTGAGTAATTTCTCTTTTCCTTTTCTTCTTGGCAAAACTCTATTTATTTTTCAAAGGCCTTTGAGACATACATAATGTCTCTGCCTGTGAAGCACTTTTTTCTTATGGTGCAAATTTTCAGGCAGAAAGAACTGTTACTTCTTTTAACCTCATAAAGCTAATGAAATACTTATTGTATTGAATAATAGTTACTTATAAAAGATGAGTTTCCCTATGACCTATGAGCTTAATAAGGAAAGAAGTTGCAATTTATTTATTATTGTACCATCAGAGCTCAGAACAATAGATGAAACTATTCTATGTATTGATAATTCACAAATAAAGAAGAATAAAATAAGCCCTGGCTGGTGTAGCTCAGTGGATTGAGCGCGGGCCTGGGAACCAAGCAACCATGGTTCGATTCCCAGTCAGGGCACATGCCTGGGTTGCAGGCCAGTTCTCTCCCTCTCCTTCCTTTCCCCTCTAAAAATAAATAAATAAAAACTTAAAAAAAAGAAGAATAAAATATTAGTCCCATCTTTCTAACTGTAGTCAGGTGTACCAACTCCAAATGTCTAAAAAAGTCATGTGGACTAAAAAGTTATTTAATGACCACAAAGGAATTTGATTTTATCAAGAAGAATAAAATACCAATTGTTTTGTGTGTCTATTCTTAAGATATAGCAAAACAGTCTTATATGTTATGATATATCCATGACTCTTGGAATTATGCATGTATGAAGAAATAAAAAGACTCCAGAAATATTAGAAATTTATTACATGCTTTTCTAATGAACAGGCATATCTGCCTATTATGTTTAGTAACATGTGTTGTTTATGGTTTACTTATTATAGCTTTGCAATGTGTTTTAATAAAAGTACTCTATTCTTACCATTTTGTTTTCAAATACATCCTGGCTTTTTTGATATCTATTTTTCCTATTAATTTTAGGACATAAAATTTCCATTTGAATTTATCAACCTGATGATTTGATGGCTAATAGGAGGTTATATCTTCCAATTTAATTAAATCTTATTTTGCTTTATATCATTCTTATAGTTTTTAGGTAACTTTATTTTTAAGATTTTTAAAAATATTTCTATTGCTATTGTAAAGAAAAATGTTTTTGTTATACTGTTTAACTGGTTGTTGTATGCACATACATTTTTCTACTTTTATATGACAATTTTTATAAGGTAATTCATTTATATTCTAATAATTGATAGCATTTTCCAGCTAAAAATTTTAGTATTTTAAAGAATAAACTGTAAGGAATTCCAGAGTTTTAAAAAACATGTGTATCCTCAACTTCTGTCTTATTACAATTATTGAAATTAATTTTGCTTGAGTAGTATAATTTGCTTCAGTGTATAAATTTTTCAAGATCCACACACATAAAATACACATGTGTTTTACATATAGAGCTATAGAGTTTTAAGGCTGGAAAGATCCTAAAGGTTACCTGGCACAACACAATCATTGTGCCCATAAGGAAGTAAGACTTAGCTTGGCCGTGTAAGTTGTTTAAGATTCCACATTTAAATAACAGCAAAGTTAACACTGAAACTACATCTTCTAACTCTGACTTTAGCACTCCTTCGCACTGTGGAAAGTGTACAGGGGAGAGGAGTGAAGCAGAAGGACCTCCAAGGGACAGACAGGAACTTGAAGAGAAAAATGAGCCGATTTTCATAGTCCCAATGATGGGTTTTCTTTAGAACATCATAGAAGAGATTATAGACCGTTGTACTAATATTGAGAATAAACTAAGAAGCAAAATAAATATAACCCAAAATATGTGGTTAGTGCACATAAACAACTAGAAATACACTTCAGAATACAACTGAATCTCATTATCTGCAGATTTTGTATTTGCACATTTGACTTCTCATTGAAATTTACTTGCACCCCACAAAATTTACTCATGCCAGTGCTTCTGCAGCCACAAACTTGGGCAAAGTAGAAAGAAATCTTGTTGGTGATTTGACCATTTAAAATGCATTTAGAATCAATAATAAAAAGAAGGTGTCTTTAAACAGAAACATGTAAAATACGGTTATGTTATTGATTGGTTGATGGAAATGGTGTGATTCGAGGCTCTTGGAAACCTAACTCTCTGTATATCCCCCTTGGGACAATTGCTCAGTCTTCATGAATCAGTGTTCATGGCAACTTCA